ACTCCTGTCTTGGAGTGCCCCCTGAACACCACCCTCTGCTTATGAGGTCCAGGACCACCCGCCAACCTTGCCGTGGTGCCATGGAAACAGCCGTGTGCCCACGAGGGAGCTCAACAGCCCTGGGCTATTGCTGGGGCTCCTGAGGGCCCGGGAGCCTGCCTGGTAGCCAGCCAGGAAGCTTCGTGTACAGCAAGGATGGGGAAAACATGCAGGACCTGTATTGTCCCAATAGAGCGAGCAGAGGCTGAAAGCCCCAGAGCAGAGGGTCCTGGGCTGGGCAGCTCCATGGAGAGCGTGAGGAACCCGGAATAAGTAAGGGCCCCAGGCCAGACTCTGAGAGAGGGAGTGCTAAGGAGATGGGCAGAGTCTAGCCGTCCACTGGGGAAACCGAGGGAGGAGGCCTGTGTACACGTGGTCAGGGAAACAGCTGGCCTTGGTGTTGCCTGCCTGTCACCCCAGCATTTGGGAGGTGGAGGCAGGAGGGCCAGTTCAAGGCCATCAAATCCAGGGAAAGGGAAGTGACCCTGGGGTGCCCAGGGCACAGACAGGACGCTTTGCTATTACCTACAGTCCCCCTGGCTAGTCCCCTCAGGGCCCCATCTGTGTAGCTCAGGACTCTGACTGGGAACTTAATCTGCAGACAGGAGCTTCCTCCGTCCACTGATAGGAGCTGTGTTCATTTGTGCCTTGGGCACCGGAAGCCACGAGCAGAAACCTGCACGGTTGGGTGGCTGCAGCTGCGTGGGCGCACACACTTCTCCGTAGATGCTGCAGGGCCTGCACCCCGCCCCCCACTCTCCAGCCATGGGTGCACACATGGCCTGCCCCCCCCGCCCCCCACTCTCCAGCCATGGGTGCACACATGGCTGCACCCTGCCCCCCACTCTCCAGCCATGGGTGCACACATGGCCTGCACCCTGCCCCCCACTCTCCAGCCATGGGTGCACACATGGCCTGCGCCCCGCCCCCCACTCTCCAGCCATGGGTGCACACATGGCCTGCACCCCGCCCCCCACTCCCCAGCCATGGGTGCACACATGGCCTGCACCCCGCCCCCCACTCCCCAGCCATGGGTGCACACATGGCCTGCACCCCGCCCCCCATTCTCCAGCCATGGGTGCACACGTGAACCAGTACTGCATGCGACAAGCCTTGTGTCCCACACTCTAGGGACACAATCACCTCTTCATATGAGTACAGCCCAGGGGCATCCCTGTGGTAAAGACCTTCAGAGGCAAACCAACCTATTTCATTTATTTGGAGGGGGGTTGAGACAGGGTCTCAGGTAGCCCAGGCTGGCCTCCAACTCCTGGGATTACAGGTGTGTGCTCCTACGCCCAGCCAAAGGTGGAGGACCTTCTCCAGTGCCTGAGACTGAGCTGGGTGAGGGTGCTTGATAATGGTTTGTTCTGAGGATCCTTCTAGGATGGATGCACTGGCATTCTTTTGTTTGTTTTTTTGAGACAGGTTTTCTCTGTGTAGTAGCCTGTCCTGGATCTCATTCTGTAGACCAGGTTGGCCTCAAACTCACAGAGAACCACTTGGCTCTGGCTCCCAATTGCTGGGATTAAAGGCATGAGCCACCACCACCCGGCACCATTCTGGTTTTTCATTTTGAAATATTACTTGTTTGTTTTGGAGACAGTGTCTCAGGTATCCCAGGCTCAGCTTGCTGTGTATCCAAGGGTGATCTTGAACTTCTGATCCTCCTGCTTCTACCTCCCAGTGTGTTGGGATTACAGGCCATCATCACCAGAGAGGCAACCATCATCAAGGCCACCACCACCAGAGGGAGTAGTCATCAAGGCCACCATCACCAGAGGCCACCATCACCAGAAGAAGTTAGTCATCACCAAGGCTACCATCATCAAGGCCACCATCACCAGACACTCAGTTTATGTTGTGCTGGGATGGAACCCAGGGCCCTGGGCATGGCAGGCAAGCTCTCTAACACGGAACTGTGAGTGTCTCCTTTAAGGATGGTCTGGGAGGCAGCAGGATCCTTTCTGGATCTTAGCCAGCCTACATAAGGCGCCTGTAGTTTTCCCATTTCACGCCCGTGAACACAACACAGATTCGGTGTGTGTGGAGGGGGAACTGGTCTGCAGTCACACGAGTTGGTTACAGTGGAGTGAGGTCCTGTCATATTGTCCTGGACCCCTCCCCAAATCCTCACCTTCCCCTTCTCTCCAGTTGGAGGTGGAGGGTTGGCAGCTGCTCCCTCACCAGGAGAGGCTGGCAGAGTCTGGGGCACCAGCTCCCCTCCAGGTCCTGCCTACCCACCAGGCCCCCGGCCCCCAAATGCCCCCACCCGAGGCCTCCACCGAGTCCCAGAACATCCCTAGTAACGGACTTGGAGTTGCTTGCATATTCCACCCCCACAGCACAACACAGGGTGACATGATTAGACACACACAGGGATGGCGATGGACAGAGAGAAATGACAGAAACCTTGAGTGACAGACTTAGCGCCCTCTTTCCCTAACGGCCCAGTGCTACAAAGCTGGCCAGGCCACAGCCAGCCCCGTTGGTCCAAGTGAGCAAAGTGGAGGATGCTCCCTGCCCTGTGCGCTGAGCCTGGCAGATAATTCTGATTGGGTGAAATCCGATTTCAGCCACGGGTCCTGCACAGTGATGCCTAAAGGTCTCCTGGATCTCACACAAACGTGGAGACGCCCTAGTCTCCAGGTTGGACCCAGGGGTGTCTGCAGGCATCTACTCGCTGCCAGGGACTCCCTGGTCCACAGCAGCTCCTTGTTCAGAATGTCTGCCCTCATCCCTGTGCACGCTAAGCCAGGTCTCCCTCAGAAGCCAGCCCTGGACCCCTCAGGGCTGGGAAGAGGCCTCATGCCTGTGCCCACACACACACACATACACACCCTCTTCCTGCCCTCCAGACAGCACCAGCACCCATGCCCATGCCCCGCAGTCTGGGGTTCACAGGGCAAACGTGAGGCTAGCCCACAGACACAGCAGAGGAGGAGGAGGGGAGTGGGCCACAGAGCCCTGGCTCCTGGGGTCTGCAGGCTCCCTCCAAACCCTGCTGCCAGGCACGGCCTCACCCTTCCCACCCGCGCCCCCACTTGAAGGAAGTGATTAGCAGAGCAATCAGGGCACAGGTGAGTCATCTGGTCACAAGGCGGCCTCCTGGCTGAGTCAGCAGAGCTGGCCCTCCACCAGCCTCCAGCTCTGAGTCAAGGTCTCCGTGGGCCCTGGCCAGGAAGCCTTGGAGGAGGCTCCTGGCCCCCAAAGTGCCCTGGCTGTTCCTATCGCCTACCCTCTCCCACAGTGGTGGCTGGGGGGAATCCAAGGGGGGTCCCACCTTCAGTGAGCCAGGCTGGGCTCTGGGGACGGCCGCAGTGTTCCGCTGCCCCTCACCAAGGCACCAGCAGACAGTCGCTGTGACCACTATGATTGATCACTGTGACTCTTCAGAATGGCTAAGCCAGGCATGGTGACATTCACCTGTAATCCCTGCCCTCAGAGGCAGAGAATGAGCTGGAGGCCTGCCTGGCTTACTTACTGAGACCTGGCCTCGGAAGATCATGTACCTCAGCTGATACAGGCCTTCAGCTCTCTAACCCGCCAGAGGTGGGATGTGTGGGTAACACAGACAAGTTTCTGCAGAGCATGCTCCCTACAAGCTCTCTCCTGTACGCCTGCAGGGAGGCTCAGAATCTGGGCCCGGGAGAAGTACAGGAGCCCTCTGAGATAGCAGGGACCTTCTGGACCACAGCACTTCCTGGTGTCCCAGGAAACCAGGATGAAGATCCCTCCATGCCCAAGTTCCCCTTACCTCTGAATTTAGGGAGCCCTGGGTCTCTATACTCTGGGCCTCCCCAGAGGCCACATGGCACCCTCGAGCCTCCCCCGCCAGGACCCCTGAAGTGCCCAGCCGTGACCGGGGTCATCTAGTCTGGAGAGACATCCCCCTGTACTGTCACAGTTAGTTTGCTTCAGGTGTCAATCTGACACATCTGGGAAGAGGGAACCTCATCCGAGGAACCGCCTCCCTCAGACTGGCCTCTGGGTATGCTTGGGGAACATTTTCTTAATTGCTAACTGATGCCAGAGGGCCCGGCCAGCTGTGGGCAGCGCTATCCTTGGGCAGGTGGTCCTGTGAGGTATAAGAAGGCTGGCCGAGGGGCCGAGGGGCTGAGGGGCCGAGGGGCCGGCTCGGCAGTTGAGAACTCACGCTACTCTTGTGGAGGACTGGAGTTTGGGTCCCAGCAACCACCCAGGGGCTGCTTGCAACTTCTGTAACTCCAGGTCCAGGAGTTACACGGCCCTCTTCTGGACACCGTGGTCACCTGTTCTCAACAGATGCACATTCATGCTTGTGCACACACGTGTGAGCGCGTGTGAAAAATAAATCTTAAAAGAAAAGGTAGCTGGGAAAACCAGAGGACATAGGCCGGCACCACTGCCCCTCGCTGGCCTCGGTTCACAGTTCTCGCCTCCAGGTTCCTGCCTTGAGCCCCTGGCCTGACCTCTCTCCACAATGGACAGAGAGCTCTAAGATGAAATCAACCCTTTCCTCCCCAGCTCGCTTCTGGCCGGTGTTTTAGCTCAGCAGCAGAAGAGCAAACCAGAACGCACACCAACTTCAGGGAACTCTTCCTCGCCTGCCCCCGGCAGCCCTGGCTGCCAGCTCTCCTGAAGCAGGTCCCTGCAGTTCAGGGCCTCTTTCCTGGCTTTGTCCCGGAGCTGGCTGGGCAGGAACTTCCTGCTGGGAGAATTCCCGGATCCTCCCGCTGAGGACACAGTGTAGCCTGGGAACTCCGAGGAGAGGGAAGTTGGGGACTCTCCTTCTTGCTGGCAGGCGGCACCCCCCAGGTTAGCCCAAATCCTCCTGCCCTCCCTGCCCCTGTGCCCGGAGGTGGCCTCCACACTAGCTGTTCTTCGGGCACAAATTAGGGATTAGGTAGAGACCCTAGTAGCCTGGCTCGCTCCAGGAGTGAGGGAGAGGGCAGAGTCCAATGACAGGCAGCCCAGGAAGCTAATGTCAAACTAAGTTTTTATTAATAACATCATCTGCCGGAGTCTGATGGGTAGGGGCAGTGCTGCGCAGGCCCACCACACGCACACACAGGATACTACTCATCCCAAAGCCCAGGGCCACAGGGACTCCTTGGATGTGTCCCAACAAGAGACATATGCTGGACTGGGGTCCCAGGGGTGTGGGCACAGTGGGCTGCTGCCGGCACGGGCCTCACTCTGGAGGAGGCCAGTTCCCCATATCATCCATCTCCTCCAGGAGCAGGTGCTGTGGGCAGACACGGGCGAAGAAGATATTCCCTGCTCTGCATTCCAGAACCTTCCCATCTGCTCTCCCCCAGACCACCCCAGCCGCCTTTTCCAGACTCTCCCCACCACCCCAAAGCTGACCCAGGTTCACCGACCCTGAGCGAACTACCCCCATAATTCAGGAATACTTCTCCTCCACCTCTGGTGCCTCCTTTCCCTTTGCCTCTGTCCTGGGGGCCCTGCATAGTTTCTTCCGGCTGAATGGAGCTTCACCTCCCTCAAGGCCCATCCCTCAGGTCCCTGGCATTCCCCAAAAGCTGAGGGGCAATCTCTCCCCCCATTAGCAAGTGGCTCTAAGGGCAGAGGAGGAGAAAATGTGGCGGGGAGAGGGCGGGACTTTGGAACACCTACTATGGAAGGCAGGAGCTGAGGATGTACCTCTGACCCCCAAAGAGAGGCCTGGGGGCCCCACATGCACTATCCAGAAACTCCCAAGACTCCTGATGCCGCCAATGCTAGCCCAGGACTGTGAGCCCAGGATGGGAAGGGCAGGCCGGCTCACAAGGTCCTGGAGGAGGACAGATCCCAGGGTTGGAGCCCCTCAGTATGAGGGGAAAATCAAGGGTCCACACAGCTTGTGTTTAGGGGTGCGGGGGCACCAGGCTCCTGGGACATGGGCATGTGGGCAGGCTTAGGACGCCCTCAGTGCCCAGCAGGTGTAAATTTCTGGCAGAGTCAGCCATTGTGTTGTCCTGTGTCGTCCCCTCACCCCGGCGGCGGCTCCTCCGGGACGCTTGCTCGGCTTGCCCCCCCCCCCCCCCCCCCCGCCCCCCCCCCCCCCCCCCCCCACCCCTCCCCACACACTGAGGAGCCTGTGGAGTCCTGCAGCACCCCCCACCCCCCCCCACCCCTCCCCACACACTGAGGAGCCTGTGGAGTCCTGCAGCAGTGTCTCAGCCCGTCCACACCACACACACACACTGAGGGGCCTGTGGAGTCCTGCTGTAGTGTCTCAGCCCGTCCTTGCAGAGGCTGAAGTCAAGATGACCCAGCAGAACGGTCTCTGACTAGACTCCGGTGTGGGCTCTTCCCTTCCGTGAGCCAGAGACCCTCAGGGCAGAGTCCACTGAGTCATGGAGAGAAACCCTGAGTGGATGGAGATTGACTCGGAACGGGCACGGATGATGTGTGGCCGCCCCCAGAGCCTGTGTGTGTCTGTGGGCTTTGGTGTGAACGAGAGAGAAAAGAATCGTGTTGTTCAAGCGCTCGCCCATCTCGATAACTCTCCCTGTCTGTAATCCCAGCACTGGGGAAGCAGAGGGAGGAGGAACAGAAGGCCAAGGCCAGCCTCTGCTACATACAGTCAGGCTAGCCTGGGCTACAAGAGACCTTGTCTCAACAAACAAACAAAACAAGACAGGGACAACACTGGTTCAAGTGAGAACTGTTGAAGCGTGTGTGCATGCGTGTGTGTATGTGTGTGTGTGTGTGTGCAGGCATGTGGGGGGCATGCGTGTGTGTGCATGCATGTGTGTATGTGTGTGCATGCATGTGTGTGGTGTGTGTGCACACGTGTGTGTGCATGCATGTGTGTATGTGTGTGCATGTGTGTGTGCATATGCATGTGTGTGTGTGTGTGTGTGTTTGTGGGGGGGTGGGCTGCAACCAGGGGCCAGAGCCGTGTGAGATAAGGGCCCCTCACCCCACATCCATGGGCTAGTGGATTAGATGGACACCCAGGCATACCTGGCCGTCCACCATGCCGGCCTCCTCCAGTGTGATGTCTGGCCGGGTCAGCAGCTCCCGGCCCTCCGGGCTGCCCACCTTCCAGAGGCGGGACTCGCGTCTCACCTCCAGAATCTTCTTCAACTCTGACTCCACGAAACCTGTGAGGCAAAGAGGTGGGCTGGCTCTGTGCCGTGGGGACAGACATCCGCTCACTGCTCCTGCTGGCATGTCCCCCCAGCACCCACAGACCCTCAAAGCCACCAGGTTTCCTGTAATGCTCATGGCAGCCAGCTCCTTTGCAGGCAGCTGCAGGTGTGTGTGTGGGGGGGGAGGTCCCCAGAAAGATTGGGACAGAATATTGGGACTTTCAGCTCAAGGGGTTGAGGCAGGAGGATCACAAGTTCAAGACTACCTAGACAACCTCGTGAGAATGTCTAAGACAATAAAAACAAATCCCTCAGACCCTAAATTCTGTGAGACGCTCATACAAGTTTTTGAACCCGAGTAGGGGGCCACAGAACCCTGACCGGTGGCCTGCTGGCCAGAGGCTCAGGTAGAGCGACCCGGGTCTAAAGCAGAGGACAGTGTGTTCGTCCTAGGCCCTCAACCAGCAGGAACCTGGTGCCATCTCCAGTAAACTGTGTCTTCAGGGCTGAATGGAATTGCAGGATGCTGGTATACCCTGAGGAATCTGCATTGCTGGTTAACTGGCTGGGGTGGGGGGCAAATGGGGCCACACATTTGACATGGCTGAGCTTGCAGGAAAAAATGGAGTTTGCCATCCCTGCCTTCTCAGAGTGTGGGGCTGGCAGAGCTCAGGAAGTCCCCACTGCATGCCCACCCTCTTTCTCAACGCTTCCACCTGGGCCAACTCCTGCAAAGCCTTAGGGTACCTGGAGCCAGCCAGGCACAGCCTCTCCCACACCCTGAGCTCCTCCTGCAGTGGAATGGGAGGCTGCTCCTGGGCAGGGTTTGCCAGGGTATTGCCACCAACTGCCCCAACTGCCTGAAATGAAGTCCCAGCTCTGTCATTAGTGGCTGTGAGATCTGGGCAAGTTACTCAGCCTCTCTGCGCTTCGATTCCCATGCCATCAGCGGAGTTATAACATCAACTGCTTCAGAGGTGTCAAATCACATTTGAAAAGAATGGCCCCAGTGATGGCTGTGTAAACAAACACAGTATCTCGGGGTATTTTGGCCATTGTTGTTTTTACTTTTTAAAAAAATCTTAATGTGTGCATCTGTGCACAGGTGCCTATGGAAGCCAGAAGCAGGTGTTGGATTCCCTGGAGCTGGAGTCACGGCAGTTGTGAGAAACACAACATGGGTGCTGGGAACGGAACCGGGGTCCTCTGCAAGAGCAACAAGTGCTCTACCCTCAGCCGGGCTCTCTGGGCCGAACGGCTTTTATCACTGAACCACCTGCTAGCATCTGATGCCACCCTAAGGCGGCTCTAGGGTTGCTAAGCAGGAACCAGGCTTGGAGGCGCCCTCCCCCAGGCCGGAGCTGGGTGGGGTGAGGGGGGTGCTTGAGTCGTCCAGCTGGGCCCGAGGTCAGTCAACCAACAGCCGTCCCCGTCCGTCCGTCTGTCACCGGAGGTCCTCTGCTGCCACCTCGTGGCCAGTGCTCGGGTTTCTCCCCTAAGCCGCTGGCCAAAGCCGGACTCTCCGACCCTGGCGATGTCGGGCTGACACACCTACCCACTGTATCTGTGGACCTAAAAGTCTTCTGCAGCGGAGACTGGACGGTGGCGATGCATGGAGCACACAGCTTGAGGTAACTGTCCTCCGCTTCTTCTCGCTCCCCTTTCTCCTCATGGGACAAGCCATCCTTGAGAGGAAACTGAGGCACGGCTGGTCTCTGAGCCTGTAAAAAGGGTTCAGGACGACTCCAGGCCCGGGTCCCCTCCTCCCCAAACCAGGACACGAGGGGAAGCGTTTCCCCCTCGGCAAGCCAGAGGTCCCGGGACCCAGTCCCACTGACCTTGGCCATGGCTGACTTCTGGAGCTGCTTGTACAAGCCGAGGAGATAGTTCCACGGGGTGGGCCCCGCCTTGCAAGAGGTCAGCCTGAGGTCTCCTGCGGAGCATCGGTCACTGAGGCTGGCAGCAGGCGGGTGGATGCCAGTCTCAGAGGGAGGGGGAAGGGCACTCAGAGAGGAGCCGCCCTCTATTCTGATGTTTTGTTTTGTTTTTCCTTTTTAATGACATTTTTATTTCTTTATCCTGGAGGAGGGGGAGGCGCACACCATGGCGTGTGTACCAGGGGTCAGAGGACAACTGGCAGGAGTCTGTTCTCACCGTCCACCATGTGCGTCCCGGGAACCAAACTCGGCTCCTCACTCCAGCTTGGCAGCGGTCTCTACCTGGGGACCCATCTCGCTGTCCCCAGTCCCTGCACCCGGCTCTGCCCTGTGTTAACAGGGTGTCTACTGTGTGCTGGGCCCACTCAGTCCCTGCACCCGGCTCTGCCCTGTGTTAACAGGGTGTCTACTGTGTGCTGGGCCCACTCAGTCCCTGCACCCGGCTCTGCCCTGTGTTAACAGGGTGTCTACTGTGTGCTGGGCCCACTCAGTCACTGCACCCGGCCCTTGCCCTGTTTTACTGTGTGCCGAGCCTGGATCTAGTCCTTGACAAAGAGCATCTCACTGATGCTTGCCATGTGCCTCAGAGACAAGTGCTGTTTGCTTTTCCTTTTTATAGATCGAGGCTCGTGGGGCAGAGAGATTCAGCAGGGGGAGGAAGTGGGGTTCAAACCTTAGATTATGTCTCACGTCCTGCTGGGCTCCCCACCCCACGAGGTCCTAGAAGAGAGGTGTCCATTCCACCACCACCACCCCCCCCCCCCCCCCCCCCGGCCCTCACCTCTAC